ATATATATATATATATATGCATATTTTTTTCCCGTTCTAACAATTTTTTCGTATAAATACAGTAATAAACTCTGAATAATATAAGATTCTTCATTTTTTATTATTAATTTATAAATTGAGCGGTTTGTCCATCAAATGTAATTAATTTTTATAAAGCGTAATTAATCATGACTGGGGTTTCAGAAATTAAGTTAATTGAATTGGGGGAACAAGATGAGAAGAAAACGGGCAAGATTGGTAAAGGATGGGTGGACCCCAACACTCTATGTCCCAAGTCAATCGGTCCACCAGAAATTCAAATGGCATTATTTCATCATCATTATTATTAATATTTCTAATGGCATACCATTTTTTATTACCAAATGTGATATATATAATTTAAAGATAGTAAAACATACAGTTTAATCTATAATATAATATCTATACATATATATATATATATGATGCGTCAAATTTTATTACTCTTTTGCATAACTCTGTTTTTAGCTAGAAATTTAAAGTATAAATCAAACCAGGTAATCTTCAAATAATTAATTTTTCCACGTGTATTACGTGTTTGTATGATTTTTGAGCTACATAAATTGTTATTTTATGTTAAAAAATTTGTAAAAACATTATAATTAGTCCCACAAACAAATAGATATATTATTTAAATGTTTTTTGTTGTTAAAGATAAAACAGTAAAATTTTTCTAATAAGAAACTGTAAAAATCCAATTACTGAAGAGTAATTAAAAAAAAAGGTTGAAGAGGTTCAGAGAGACGAGATTGACGTGATGGGTTTGGTTGGGCTGCTCGTACTTTTTCAGGTAAATTATTTTCTCTCTCTCCATTTTTTTCATTCTTTAAGTTTGTATTATTTTTAACAAGGAAATAAATTTCCATCGGTGAAATTTCGTCTACATTACATACTTACACAGCATAAGAACGGTCCAAAAAATATATTATTTTATATATAAAGGAAAAACCAAGTGGAAATAAGTATAAGTATGCAATAATATTATGGAATTTGATAATAATAATAATAAATATTAGGTTATAATTAAAAAAAGAAATCCAAAAATAATATAGAGCTTTGAATATTTTCAGAAAGACAATAAGAAGTGGATAGTCAAATCTATCATATCATAACCTTGCTCTTTATATATATATATATATATACATACATATATATATATATATATCACTTATTTTTAGATAACATCAGAGAACAGTGTTTGGGTAGGTTCAGACACAGTCCTACACTTGGAAACTTCAATTAATTACATGTACATCTACCCCACTCGTACCTATATTATTCATGCAACGTGTATTTTGGTTGGTATATGTATATGTATATGTATATATATGTATATGTATATACATGTGTATATATGTATATGTTCTTTTATTGGTGCCTTGTGCTGAATCCAGATGTATTTTCTAAAAAGGAAATGGTCTCCTTTTTATAAATTCGTGATGCTTTTTAAATGATAGTCATGCATGCATTTAATACATGATTTATTTATGTATTTCTTAGCTTGCTTTCAGTAGATAAATTTTCAATATTCTCATAAACATAGTTACAGAAAACTACATAAATAATAAAATAATCATAATTTTCACAAAGTAAAAACAAAATATCCGAGACATTCTCCAAACACAAACACCGACGATAAATAAATAATATTCATATGCACTTTTCAAATAACTAAAAATAGTATTTAAAAAAAAAAGAGCGTTTTAACAAAAATTAGACGAAAAAGGGGGGGTAAGATAATATACAAAATATATTTTTATCTTAGATACCGTGAATTTTCGGATTTAAAAAAAGTATTATGATTAATTTTATTGATTATTATTTTGTATTATATATATATATATATATATATTGATTTAAGGAATGTAGACTAGACAGATTTATTTGCAATTAGTATTTTCTTATATTTTTTTATTTTTCGAAAAATAAAGGAATCAAGTCAGTTTCATTATACGGCAATAATGACATCTACATACACTGTTGACGAATGAAAAGCCGTGTAGTGTATCAAAGATTCCTTCTTCATCGGCCACACAAAAAGGTTGAACCCCTACAATCTCTAATATGGTTTTTCAACATTTTGATTTGAATTTTAATTTGAAAATTCAAATTATGTGTAAATTGTATAATCATATAAATAAATTTGCATTTACTAGAAAATGCGAAATTATTTCAACCTTATTTAAATGTGTTTATATTTCCTAAAAATTATTAAACAACAATCATTTTTATTAAAATTAAAAAAAATATTTTTTAATAAAGATTCCCAAATCCATGGATACTAGATTAAATTTTAAATTTTTATATCCAAAACAGTTGGACGCAATTTTTTTGTAATCTCAAATTTTATGATTTATTTTTATAAGTTTCCAACTATATGGATCTTATCCCAAAGTTTGTATTTGTCGATATGGTATGGTATAATTTATACAGTTTTTAATTTAAAAAGATTCGGTCAATATTAAAATAATATGATTGGAATGTGTAAATAAATTCGCATATAGGTACCAAATGTGAGTGGGCGACAAGAAGTCCCTAGTGTTTGGACAAAAACGAATTCCCACTCTTATCCAAGATTATATTATTCCCCCACACGATCGGCTTATTCTTGAAAACAATCAATGAAAAATATGATTGGAATCTTTGATTAAAAAATCATAATACAAGATTAAAGTATACCACCATCTAATATATCTTTATTTTATAATAGATTAACTCACATTCATTACAAATTAAAAATAAACAGGAGAGCTTCTAAGATATGTTATGCTAATTGTGTAAATATTATTTATATTAAAATTCCTCTCTATAGGATTATTTTTCATACATTATAGAATATAAAGATTACGACTAAGACAATTCACGTCGTCAAGAAAGATCATTAGTATTTTTAGTATTATTTATTATTTTCTAAATATATCTGATTTTTTCGTTATAAAATATCGTAAATTAGACATAATTTTCTGTAAAAAATTAAAAAACATTTTTTTGTATGCTATATTGTATTTAAATTTGTTTTTTTGGTAATAAATATTTTCAATTATATATATATATATATATGTATATATTGCAATCTTTCTTAATCCTTTAGCGTTCAAATGAATATAATCATTAAATAATAATGAGAGAGAGCTATACAAAATAGTCAGTTCATAACAAAAGAAGACAAGACGACAATGATGAAACGTTTGTAGGAATTTGCACAAATCAGTGTAAATTTTACTCAGCTAAATTTCGGTGTAACATCCGACGATGTTTCCAGCTTCAACTTCCAATGCCACTTTCTTTGGCTTACGTGAAATTAATTTCTTTTTTTTTAAAATATGGATAAATTATCAGAAAATATGAATCATATAAAAAAAAACTTACATATTAATACATGAAAAAAGCTTCATGAAAATAGCAATCTGAAATAGAAATAGACTGGGGTTCGATTGTGTATAAGTAGATATTTAAATATTTTTATTTCTAAAATTCGGGTATTCATAATTCTCGAATTCGAATTCCCATGAAAAGTTAGAATATATACATATATAACGGACGAAATAGACATCTTCACAAAGATTTTGGGTTTTTTTTTTTCTTTCTAAATGAATATAAATGATAAAAGGGGAAAATCATTGTTATTAGGCCGTAACTTTGATGGGCCTTTAGTTTTGGGCCTCCGAATTTAAATGTTCCGTCTCGTCCGAATTAAATTTTGGGCCCTTAGTTTTAAATTGAGCCGTAACATTTTTTATTTTCAAATTGGCCCATAATTCATCACTTGAAATATATATCAGAAGCCGCTCCTGGAAGATTATATATTTGTAACAAGGACATGACATAACAAGGTACGATGCAATAATCAACTGATATTGTAAAAAAAAAAAAAAAAAAAAGCTCTACAGTAACATCAATGAGCCAACATAGAGACATATTATCATCATCCACAAGAACGGAGTTCTACTTCGATCCAATCTCGTTGCTGCAGGAAAAAAAAAATAAATGTTTTCAGATGGGTTCAAATCTAAGTTGAATCTTAATATATGATATTTTATTTTCAAAAAATTTCATATTTAAACTTGGGTTAATGGGTCTGACCTTGACTTTTGCTGCTATCAGCCAAGGCAGGAGGAGGAGAAGCAGAATTGTTGAATAGAGGAATCCCAAGATTCACACAGTCCATTCCAAATGCACCTATTCAAAAACATCACCGTTCCAAAAAAAAAATGTAATATTTTTCGAAATATATAAATAGAAATATCAGTTGTTATATGTATGGCAAGAGTTCTTTACATTGTCTGAAGCAAGGAAATGCAGAAACGTTGAGGAGATTGCTGTAGCCTTGTTGGCATTCACAGGTGTACGTGAATGGAGAAGTCGTGTTGCATGAGCCGCCTCCACAGTCGGTCCAATGGCATGCTAGTAGTAGTTTTATATATAACATGATCCATAACAATGTTAGATGATATATACATATATATATATATATAATACAGATTTGTTAGGGGGTGATATAGATTTAAGTTAAATGATTTCTTACGGTCGATGAATGAACCGTTCTTGGGTTTGGTCGGTTTCAGCTCTTCTGCAGGAGAAGGTGCTTCACCACAGGCGAAATCCATAGTACCTGAAAGATCGATGTCAGTGGCACAGAGGGAGAGAGAGAGAAAGAGAGAGATTACAGAGAGAGAGAGAGAGAGAGAGAGAGAGAGAGATTACAGTTGGGGATGATGCATGGGAGAAACTTGAGGTGATGATCGATCTGCTTCCAACCAGATTCACATTCACATTCGAACATAAAAGTGCTGTTCGAAGATGGCTTGCATTCCCCTTTCCCGCATTCCACTTGTTTACACACATCATCTTCATTCACAACCCCAAAAAAAAAATTCAAATTCAAATTCAAAAAACGAGTCACGGGATATTAAGAAGGAGCGTCAAATTCAAAATTTGAACACGACCGTTCAACGAAGATTACTGTTTTTCCCCTTCCTCCCCCCTTCAAAATCCAATTTCATAGAAAGCAGAATTTCTGAAGAGAACCAGAGTTTTATATACACAACCCATCAGATAAAATTGAATTTTCTCCATCATCCAATGAATAAAAACCATACTTTTTTTACTAAATAGATCCTCGTGCGAGCGCTACGTCATTTGAGACCAGAGGTATGACTGAACCGTAAGATCAAAAATCAAATTTTGAGAGGAACCCATTGGAGAACATCAGATTTCTAGCATACCCACTCGACTAAAATATAAAAAAGAAACAAAAACTAATGACCCAACCAATTGAAGAGCATAACGAAAAGAGGAAGACAAACCGAAGATAGGAGAGAGAAGGGGGGACAAGAAGTCAGATGCGGCTGTCTTCTGGTACATGAGAAGCAATACTGCCAGAATCCAGAGTAATGTTCTTACAGACGCCATATCATCCATCTCCTCTGTATCCACCTGCCACTACCAAATCCAAGATTCCAAGAAAGAGAGAGAGGGAGTTTTTAGTGTTCGACGGGTTTTTGTTTCCGAGAAATCAAATGGAAACAAGATGGGTTCTCTTCTTTTTCGGTGATTTATATTGGGCTGTTTTTTTTTTCTTTTTCGGTTTTTTTTTGTTGGTAGGAGTTGAGATGTAAACATGGTGGAGTAAATAGTACAGTGATGGATGGAGATGGACTTCTGGTTTGGGATTTTGGAGGGGTTGTTGTTAGTTGAAAATCATATTTATTGTGTTTAAAAATGAAATATCCCTTTATATTACGGTTTTTTTGTCATAAAAAACGAGAAATTATAAAGATCTAATCTTTATCAAAGAATGTAAATTTTAATGATGAAAATATTTATTAAATTAATATGTTACATGTCTTTATATATTTTAAAATTTGTGTAAAATCCTAAAACTACTCTTTTCATAAAAAAAAACAAAAAAAAAATAATTGAGAGAAAAATTATGTCCTGATTGGATAATGAGGAGGTAGGATCAAAAATTCTAAATTTGATAATTAATGATAATAAATGACGTTACCTAAAAGTCTTTCAAAAGTCTACGATATCGTTATTCATTTGAATATTCCTACGAATCAGCTGCAGTAAATTTTTATTTTTATTTTACTGGGTCTCTGAATATCGATATCACATTTTATATCGTTATATTGAAAAGAGTCCTTGTATAAAATTTCCTCTCTTTTTTTTTTTGCCATGTATATCTCCATCAGAGAATCGACAATTTAATTACTTATTTATATGATATTTACATAGTTTAAACTCTAGTTTCTATATTTTAGGGATTCAAGTTAGCTACTGGATTAACGGGAGAAAATGGTAACAAAATGTTTCCGAATGAATTTATATTTATAAACGAATGTATGGCACTTAAGCTTGAATAATTTTTTTTTTTTATGAAATGCTGAATTTCGTTATATAAAATGCGGACCGCCGAGCAGCGGATTGGGGAGGGAGGGGTGTTTTTTCGGTTTGAGAGGGTGTTGCTCTTTGGACCCCTGTTGCCGGGCCTCTAAAGGCTGCTCCCGAGTCTAGGGGATATAGGTTGGGCCGAAGTTCCAAGTGAACCTCTGGTTATCAAAAAGAAAAATGCGGACTGCCGACCTCGTGTGTGTGTATATATATATATCAGTCAAACTATTCAGATTTTATAATATTGATGCCTCATGTCATGTAAGAGTTTCTGTTCAAAAGAATGGTCAAACAAGAGTAGTTCAACTGTGACCGACCATGAACATACATATATATATATATGTATGTATATATATACAGTAATTCAGATCCTGTTACAATGTGATAACAGCTCCAAATTTTTTCTGTTTCATAAATTTTGGTACGTGACGGTAACAAACATAACGATTCTGATTTATTTTTTTTTGGGTGCTAACGATTAATTTTAACAACCTTTGTATTTATTTTTGTTTTTATTTAGTTACGGTGTTTTTGTGGTTGGCCCAAATATTGTGCTACTCATTTCTATTTCTATGGCAGGCCCGCTAATAAAACTGCAACCCCATTTCTAAAATATAAAATATAGGCCCACATTTATATACCTTTGCACCTCGGCCCATCTATTCCACGTTTATTTTCGACTTTAGACTTTGTTTGTTTAAAAAATTTATATCGTATTCGATTTTTATATTGACTTTTGGTTCGGTACGAATTTTTTCAGTTTTTTTTTAAGATTTTGTTTAAAACATTCAAAATTTGCAACATACGAATTCTTCTTCTTCTTATTATTATTATTATATTAATATTATTATTACTATTGAAGATAAACTATAAATACAATCATTTAAAACCTCTTAATAACTCATTTAATGGGGGTAAATTTGAATTCTCAGCTGGTAAATGTGACACCTTTTAAATTTCATATTTTTTTTTCTCAAGCAAAACAATAGGAAAAAAAATAGAAATTAAACAATTAAATTATTTTCATGCAAGGAAAATAGGAATGTTACACTTTAAATTCATCAACATAAAAAAATAATAATAATAATAGAAAAGTCTCCAACACACATCGAAGGGGATGCTTCCATGCATCAAACATGATGGACCTGGTCAAGATAGTATAACACTCCATGTGACTGCCAGCTATACACAAACACCGACACTTACATATATACGTGTGTATATACATATGAGTGTGTGTATATAATATACCTATTTATTTGGGGGAAAAATAATACTACGAGCTTATATTGTACATGATGACAAAATCTCCATAATTAGAGGGAATCGAAATTAATCAATGCACTAATCAGTAATCACTAATCAGCAATATGACAGTCACAGAGAGGCTGCCGTTTCATAATTATTTATTTGTACGGTACACTCCAATTTGATCTTTTTTTTTTTAAATTTATTTAGCATTTTGAAGACACTCTTAATCATATTTATGTTTTGTTCAGATCCAATAACTGTAAATAAGGAATGACGTTTACTACTCTGAAAAGGGCTTTGGCTAATAAACAGATTTTTTTTGTCCCATTGACTATTTATTAATTTTATATATTTTTGAATTTTAAAGTTTCATTTTACTTTGTATTTTCGATTTATCATTTGATTCATTTCATTTTGTAAGAAAAAAGATATATGTGAATCTCATGTATTTTGGAGACTAATATATATGTATATATATAAGGTTGGTTTGGATGGAGGATTCCACAATTGCAATAACTTTCGTTATGTAATTGGACCGACTGAATTATACCGTGATGCAGTATTGATATCGGGCATTAGATGCAATTAAGTAACTGTCTGCCACACCAACTTGTTCAAACCCTAAACGGTATAACGATTCATGAAGGCACCCCACATCATTGTCTTCAGAAGTCTGCAATTAATTGGACCCATAGCATTATAAACTTTGGTCTAGTGCATGTGAATTATATTTATTAGAATTTGAACGAAAAGTTATAATAAGATGACTTGTTTTATACAAATTTTAACAAAAACAAAAACAAAACAAAAAGATGACTTGTTTTAGGGTTTTAGTATCGGGGCATGCCCTACACTTTGGAGGGTGGACACGTGGGTCGGGTCAGATATAAAAACATGAATTATTTTTAGTTATTAATTTATGAAAATTATAGTATGTGATCAAACGCATAACTACATGCAGAAGACATATGTGATATATATATATATATAGAAAACCAATATATATATATATATATATATATTGTGTAAAATGGGAAAATGACTGCTATATATGGTTATGGTCAAAACCTATAATACAGGGAACCCCCCGACCGGCGACCCATATGGCCTTTTTTTTTTGTCATTTAATATTCTGTTCCACGCACACACTATAAGTCTATAACCATCATTTTCTCATAAGTTTCTATATGACCATCCAATCATGCTTACTTGTTTCTATATGACCATCCAATCATGCTTACTTGTTTATTCTAATAACTTGTTATATTGTATATGTATATATATATGTTGCATATATACTCTAAAATATTCCATGTTCTACTATAATCCACAAGCATCCATGATAAGAAAACAATATGGTAAGATCATGATAAAGTATTTTTCACGTATTCTGCATGTTCTTGACCCGTTTTCACATGGCTCTCTGATATTTCCCCATCTCACATATAAGCCAAACGGTCCACCCAAATTTACCAAACTGCCCTCCACAACTCACATATCTATATTCAACAATTTATGATTATCCACAAATATGACTGGATATTTAAAAAAAATAAATAAATAAATAATATTAAGTGGAGATGGTAGTCAAGGAAGATCGTGGTGGAACATATGGTGTTAGGCTGTCCAAAAAGAGACAGTTAAAGAGTTGCAGGACATTGTCTTAAAACAAGAATGGTACTCTCTGTACCTCTGAAAGCTACTTCTCATTAACCGACAATCTCTTCAAACACCTGTCTCCTTCTTCCTCTTCTTCCTCACTGTAATGTAACAGTCCTGATCTTCTCTGTTAATGGGGCTTTGCTTGCTCTAGAAGGGAGTTTTTTTATTCTTGGATAAGGAAAGAATGGGGAAGACAAGCAAATGGCTTCGCAGTTTCTTGATCGGAAAAAAAGATCACAGAGTGAAAGAGAAGGGGACGAAGAGATTGACCGCCACCACAGACGGTGGTTACGGTGGTGGAGAGTGAGGACGAGCAGAAGAAACACTCTCTCACCATGGCTGCAGCCACGGTGGTGGTGGAAGAGATCGCGGCCATGAAAATTCAGGCGTATTTCCGCTCCTACTTGGTAAAAAATCCGGCTAAGTTCCAACCATTTCGATGAATTCTGATATATTCAGAGGGTTAAGACTATTTTTTGTATTTTGGATGCAGGCGAGGAAGGCGTTAAGAGCGTTAAAAGGAATAGTGAAGTTGCAGGCTCTTGCGAGAGGGCATCTGGTGAGGAAACAAGCCACGGCTACGCTCCGTTGCATGCAGGCTTTGATCACATTACAGGCTAAGGCTCTTGAACAAAGGATCCGTATGATCGAAGACCCAAAACCCTCCATTCCGAGATCATCAACTCACGGGAATTCATCTCAAGAAACCCGAATCAAGAACAGTTACCATTACCACGTACGTACCAAAAGCTCGCCCTCGAAAACCATGCGCAGATTTGTAGAGTTCTTGGCTTTAATCCTCCGTTTCTTGATTGATTCTCTCTCTGTCTCTGCAGGAGAAAGACAGAGTTCTTGAGGAAAACATCAAGACTGTCGAGATAGACGACGACATTCAATCTAAGCAATACTCTCCAGCTCCTTCAGCCATAACCGAGATGAGTCCCCGGGCCTATAGCGGTTATTTCGAGGATTACAACTTCACCACAGCTCAGAGCAGTCCTCAGTGCTTCAGATTCAAAGGAGATTATTACAAGAGAGATTCCTTGTCTTCGTATGATTACCCTCTGTTCCCAAACTATATGGCGAATACCGAGTCTTCTCGGGCAAAGGCGAGGTCTCAGAGCGCTCCCAAACAAAGGCCACCTGAACTATACGAACGTCAGCCGAGTGGACGGAGAAGGGTTTCCATGGAAGGTCCAAGAAATGGCATCCCGAGAGCGGTAAGGATGCAGAGATCGTCGTCTCATGTGGGTTCGACTGTGATGGCCAAAGATCATCATCATCAGCTTCAGTACTATCCATGGATGGGAATTAAACTCGACAGATCTAACGTCTCCCTTAAGGACAGCGAATGTGGATCGAGCAGTACGGTTATGACAAACATAAACTACTGCAGATCTATGGTTGGAAGCGATGTGAGTGGAGTTTAGATAGTTACTTGTTGTCCAAGAAACGTGGAATCCTTGTGGAGATTCTATAAGCTAATGTCCTGGTTGTTGTTTTCTTCCCCTGCAGGTTCATGGAAACAAGTAGTGAATGATTTAGAATCAAGAGTGGCTTAAAGATTCGCTACGGATCAGACATTAGCATGAAACATAAGACTTTGGGGTTTATAAAAATAGCATCGGACAAATAATTTCAAGTTGAAGATTTGAACAAATAACTTCCCTGTCAGGATATTGAATTTTGTTCTTGAAGCATTCTTCTTCTGCTTTATATTTATTTTTCTTTTGTTTAATATTCATTTTTTTTTAATCCTACGATTCTAAGCTTTTCCTTTTTTTATTGGTTCGATAGAAATTCAAGCATATGTTTGGTTCGTATCGATTTATCATTATTCAAAATAAACCATTACATACAATCATAATCTTATAATATCTTATAAGTATCTAAAATATATAAATCAAATCAAATCTATGATAATATTTTGAAATATTAATCGAGAATATTCTTCATCTGAGTAGACAGACCAAAACAAATATAGATTTGTGTAGAATATTATTGTGAGGTTTTTGTCCTTCAAAAATTAGGATTATGATATTTATAAAAATAAAATTAAATATTAATTATTAAATAGAGAAAAAAATCAAATATAAATTTTAGAATAATTTTTTATACGTCATAGAAAAAATAATATATATTTTTTATATTCTCTAATAATTGCGTGACAAAGCCGATCATCTAATTTCAAAAGGCCAAAACAAAACGTTCAATTGACATAATGGTCAAACTAGGTAGGGTCATTATAGGATATAATACATTGTTATAAAACATATAAATTTAATCATCATTTACCCATTGACGAGGTTTAGATAGTTTCTTGATGGAATGTTTTACAAAGGTCCTTTAAATTCGTAACTAAGACTCGAATCACATAATTTATTATGAAAAAAAAATAAAAGTTGAAAAATCATGGTAATTGTTTTTTCATAAAAATATGTTCCCATGCAATTTCATGTTTAAATTTTCCGCTCACGGTTCTTAAAAAATATATAAATTATAAATTTTATACTATATATATTAATGTGTGTAAAGAAAAAGTTTAATACCTACCATACGAATTTTATAATGGTTATTGGACTTTCTCTCCCGAAATCGATTTCTTCACATGCAAGTGGCCTAAATTGCAATTAATGTTTGATTAGCCTTAGAGTTTTATCTATAATTGCGATTAAATTAAATAAATTCACAATACAAAAAAAATGGTCATTTCCAACAGGTAAATCCGTTGGAAATGGCCAAATTTCCGTTGGAAATTAACGTTTCCAACGGATTTCCAACGGATTTATCGTTGGAATTTCGTCTTTAGAAATCGGTGTCCGTTGGAAAACCGTTGGAATTTTCAACGGAATTGCAACGAATTTTT